CCCCCCCCCCCCCTTTTTTTTTTTTTTACATTTTCACAGTGCTTGATGTGTCATGTAAGCTGTTTTACCTGCAGCTAATTTCATGTACTTCATGTGCTCTGGGCCGCTCAAATTAGAGGTCTGCGTAACCCGCCGGAACTCGGTTAGATTAGCTGCGGCGCGGGACTAATTTTCCGAGCTGTAGGTGGGAGTGGGCGGTTTTTTTTTCCGAACAGTTGTTGCCGGGAACGGACAGTCAGCGAGAAGCCCATGAATAATTCACCAGTTTGAGATGTTAAAAATGGGTGTTTTGCTGTTTTTTTTTTATTAATGCATACGAAATCTGGTTTCCTGTAGTGTTGAAGTCTGACACATTTGCACATTTTCTAATCCTGTTCAATGAACCTGTTGGAAAACTATTATTTTACAGCATAAATTGTTCACAGGTATCTTCTCTTTTGTGCTTAGAGTAGGCAGTCAGTGTCCAAACTTTTTACAGATGGATGAATAGTGTAATTAAATAGAAATTTTTGTAATAGTGCATATGAAGTCTAGATTCCTTTCTTGTTCAATGAACCTGTTCAAAAACTATAATTTTATGCCATAAATTGTAAGAAAAAGTCCTCTCTTTTGTGTCTAAAGCACAGACGGTCAGTGTTAAAACTTCTTACAGATGGTTAAATAGTTGAATTCAATTGAAATATAGTTTAATTTCCCTTTTCATTTCAGCTCACAACTTTTCATCCTTAATTTTAAACCACAAAGATGTTAATGCAGTAAATATAAACATGAGAAGCAGCTCATCGCTGTTGTGAGATTTAATTTACAGTGCTTGCAGGAACATGGCCTACATTTAGCGAGAGTGGGCAGAAATACCCAGAAGCTTCTTATAATATCATCCCGGTGCCTTTCAAACTTGATTTTGTTACCTGATGGGACAATGTGCACTTTGACTTCTGGATGTTGTGTATTAATTCAGGTAATCTGGATTGGATTTTGCAGTTTTCTCTAGTGCTTTTCCAGCTTTGTTTGCAGGATGCAGCTGTCATGTACAATGTTTAAATTTTTTGTATTCTCACTCACTATGGGGTGATTTTACAGTTTATTAGGGTTCATTTGCGAAATTAATTCACTCGTTCTGTACAAAAAAACGAGGGTTTTTTTGGATCATGGCAAAACGAAACTGTTCACTGAGAGAGTCATCTTATGTTAGTCATCTTATCTAAAAATTAATGCCATTATGAGAACACGATTGCCTTATGTTATCTCGGGCCAGAGAAGAAAAGACTATAAGAGGGGTTCCCCAAGGATGGAGATGCATGTCCCGGTAATGCCGTATCCCAGAGGACATCATTAGCATTATCTGGTCTGTGTATCCTGGAAGGAGAAGCTCAGCGTTTCTTATTTAAATCATACTCGAGTCTCTCTGTTGAAGTTTGCTGGAGGAGTTGAGGGTTTTTCAGGCTCATTCGTATTCATATGTAAGTGCACACATGCATTTTCATGTTTGGATAGACAGAGAAACATAGAGTTAGACTGTCATTTATCTGTGGCAGATTAATTTAATTTAAATTTGATATTATATTTTTGTTTTAATAATAATAATATTTAATAAATATATATAGAAAATATTGACTTAAATGGCAGATTTATTCATAAATTAATTACAGATGTGGTAAAGGTCACTGTATTTTATTTGTGCAAATACATTAACTGTTATGGTGTTAAACATTATTCATTTAATATTAAATCTATAAATTATATTGTATAAGTTAAAAATAAATCAATTTTAACAGCAGATGTATTTATAAATAAAATACAGTTGTGATAAAAAATATTTTTTTATGTTGATAAATGCATTAACTGTTATGGTGTTCAACATTTCTCATGTAAATATATAAATATGTTAAAAATGTAATTGCAATTCTCTAAAATTAGTAAATAGATGAAATTAAATAAGAATTTTGATCCTCATAGGATGTGTATATCTCTGAAGTTGTTTATTTGTTTATTTATCGTCTATTTAACCTCTTAATTGTCATCCACATTTTTGAAAATTCACGAGAAAGTGCACTATACAAACTTAAGTTATTATGGAGAAAATAGCAGAGTATTACAGAAGTGAAATCATTTAATAAATTGAAAGTATTAAAAAAGTATAGAAGTTTACATTTACTGTAAAGAAAATGTATTGTACTATTTTTATTTTATTTGATATAAAATAAATATTTAAAAAAAAGTTAAAAATACAACATTTCAATAAAATTAAAGCCAACTGTCTACATAAGTTGTGTTCCAAATTTGAAGTTGATATAAAAAAAAAAGAGGTTCATATACAATTTTGTTTAGGCGTTATACCAAAAAAAGCCACCGGGTGCCACCCAAACTCTTTTTTATGCATTGCTGTTACAAATCTATAAATTTCTCTCTCAATATTACGTCTATCTCAAAATAACCACCACATATGGAATCTTGAGACTCAGACCTTTCCGACGATATGTATTTTGTCAAGATTATAAAAGTTTTGTTTCTAAAAGACCATAATACATGTTGTAATATGACACCTCCGCTAAGGGGGAGGAGACTGCTAAAAGATTTTGAAGTACCATTTCTATGGTAACGCAATGTCCGATTTCAAAATGTATGTGTGCCTGCCTGAACCACAGTTTATGTACAAATAACAACACTACTAATGAGATCACGTTGATCTGCCATAGCTGCGTCTGCAGGACTGACACACTGAGCTGGCGTTATGTGTTCAGTGTGATCCGGCTCATCTTTTCTGACAGCTCGACTTGCGAGAAGAAAAGACTATAAGAGGGGTTCCCCAAGGATGGAGATGCATGTCCCGGTAATGCCGTATCCCAGAGGACATCATTAGCATTATCTGGGCTGTGTATCCTGGAAGGAGAAGCTCAGCGTTTCTTATTTAAATCATACTCGAGTCTCTCTGTTGAAGTTTGCTGGAGGAGTTGAGGGTTTTTCAGGCTCATTCGTATTCATATGTAAGTGCACACATGCATTTTCATGTTTGGATAGACAGAGAAACATAGAGTTAGACTGTCATTTATCTGTGGCAGATTAATTTAATTTAAATTTGATATTATATTTTTGTTTTAATAATAATAATATTTAATAAATATATATATAGAAAATATTGACTTAAATGGCAGATTTATTCATAAATTAATTACAGATGTGGTAAAGGTCACTGTATTTTATTTGTGCAAATACATTAACTGTTATGGTGTTAAACATTATTCATTTAATATTAAATCTATAAATTATATTGTATAAGTTAAAAATAAATCAATTTTAACAGCAGATGTATTTATAAATAAAATACAGTTGTGATAAAAAATATTTTTTTATGTTGATAAATGCATTAACTGTTATGGTGTTCAACATTTCTCATGTAAATATATAAATATGTTAAAAATGTAATTGCAATTCTCTAAAATTAGTAAATAGATGAAATTAAATAAGAATTTTGATCCTCAAAGGATGTGTATATCTCTGAAGTTGTTTATTTGTTTATTTATCGTCTATTTAACCTCTTAATTGTCATCCACATTTTTGAAAATTCACGAGAAAGTGCACTATACAAACTTAAGTTATTATGGAGAAAATAGCAGAGTATTACAGAAGTGAAATCATTTAATAAATTGAAAGTATTAAAAAAGTATAGAAGTTTACATTTACTGTAAAGAAAATGTATTGTACTATTTTTATTTTATTTGATATAAAATAAATATTTAAAAAAAAGTTAAAAATACAACATTTCAATAAAATTAAAGCCAACTGTCTACATAAGTTGTGTTCCAAATTTGAAGTTGATATAAAAAAAAAAGAGGTTCATATACAATTTTGTTTAGGCGTTATACCAAAAAAAGCCACCGGGTGCCACCCAAACTCTTTTTTATGCATTGCTGTTACAAATCTATAAATTTCTCTCTCAATATTACGTCTATCTCAAAATAACCACCACATATGGAATCTTGAGACTCAGACCTTTCCGACGATATGTATTTTGTCAAGGAGGTTCATATACAATTTTGCTTAGGCGTTATACCAAAAAAAAGCCGCCGGGTGCCACCCAAACTCTTTTTTATGCATTGCTGTTACAAATCTATCAATTTCTCTCTCAATATTATGTCTATCTCAAAATAACCACCACATATGGAATCTTGAGACTCAGACCTTTCCGACGATATGTATTTTGTCAAGATTATAAAAGTTTTGTTTCTAAAAGACCGTAATACATGTTGTAATATGACACCTCCGCTAAGGGGGAGGAGACTGCTAAAAGATTTTGAAGTACCATTTCTATGGTAACGCAATGTCCGATTTCAAAATGTATGTGTGCCTGCCTGAACCACAGTTTATGTACAAATAACAACACTACTAATGAGATCACGTTGATCTGCCATAGCTGCGTCTGCAGGACTGACACACTGAGCTGGCGTTATGTGTTCAGTGTGATCCGGCTCATCTTTTCTGACAGCTCGACTTGCATGCTGCTCCTGGACTGAGCTGGAGTCCGGCCGAGCCGCGATGGCTCTTACGCCCTCCTTTAATCTTCACACGCTTCACAGCACTTGGGCACTTTACGCCCCCTCAGCAGTGAGCGACCCAGACTCCTGCTGGACCCACACTGGCTTCTGTCAACATCCTTATTCACCGGAGCCTCGTCTATAGTTCAATCCAGATGCTAAAAAGCCTAAATGAACATTGGGACTACATATGGAGTGTTTGACTTATGCTTCATAAAGTATTTCAGGCCGAACCGTGTTTGTTGCACTGCTATACAGTGGCTGTTTTCTTGGATGCATTAATGCACTATTTTGTACTAATAATATGTGAAAAGCACAATGCACATAAAATGGGCTTGATTGTTCAAGTCAATAATACTGATTTGAATAGTGACCAATAGTGATGATTGATCACACGCAAATGATTTTTTTGAGCCGGTTCTTTAAATGAATCAGTCAAAACGACTCCTAAACTCAAACAATAGGGTTTAAATCAAGCTAATTAATTTTTTGCTGGCTCTGTCATTGGCATTTAGTGGGTTCTAAATAAACAACTGACTCATATTTTGTATTAAATGGTCTTTTAAAATATTAAAATACACTATAAAAATTGCATTATGGTATTTTCTGGAAAGTAAGTCACACCAAAAACAAATCACATTGTTGAGAGGAAAATAAAGACACTGCCATTTAAAAGTTTAAAGTTAGTAAGATCTTTTAAGATTTTTTAAGTTAATGTTTAAGTTAATGTTTTCATTCAGTAAGCATGCATTAAATTGATCAAAAGTGACTGTAAAGCCATTTATAATAAATAAGATTTCTCTTTCAAATAAATGCTGTTCTTTTGAACTTTCTATTCATCAGAAAATCCTAAAACATAAAATGTATCATAGTTTCCTCATGAAGCAGCACAACTGTTTTCAACATTGATAATAATCAGAAATGTTTCTTGAGCAGCAAATAAGTTAATGTTTTCATTCAGTAAGCATGCATTAAATTGATCAAAAGTGACTGTAAAGACATTTATAATAAATAAGATTTCTCTTTCAAATAAATGCTGTTCTTTTGAACTTTCTATTCATCAGAAAATCCTAAAACATAAAATGTATCATAGTTTCCTCATGAAGCAGCACAACTGTTTTCAACATTGATAATAATCAGAAATGTTTCTTGAGCAGCAAATCAGCATATTAGAATGATTTCTGAAGATCATGTGACACTGAAGACTGGAGTAATGATGCTGAAAATTCAGCTGCGCATCACAGGAATAAATTACAATAGAAAAGCAGCTATTTGAAAGTGTAAAAATATTTCACAATTTTACTGTTTTACTGTTTTTTTATCAAGTAAATGGTGAGCATAAGAGACTTCTTTCAAAAACATTTAAAAAAAATAGAACAGAATGAGAAACAAACAGAAGTAGAAACATTACAAACACTATAAATGCTTACTTTGAATAGGCCACTTAAAACACTACTCCCCTAAATCTCAATAGCTTAATTGCAGTAATGCTCCAAACTAATTAACTAGTTAATGGCTGTCAAAGCAATTTTTTTATTTGTAAACATATGTGTGCAGTGTGGGCTTGATGTAATGATTAAAACAGAGCAACTTACGTTCCAGAAAATCCAGTCATTTGTTTAGTATGTTGTTTTGAGCAATTACAGCATTTCTGTAAGAAACAATGGGACTAAAGCAAAATGAAGTGTCTTGAAGGGAACTGATGTGTTGTTGCCTCTGTTTTTACGTTCATACATAGAGTTCATTTTTAGATTAATTCATCGATATTCAGTTGATTTCCGTGGTCTGCTGATTGTCGTGTCATGGGTCTTTTAACCCTATAAAGCCTGACATATGATAGTTTATTATGACACATAATAGTCCATTTTTTTTAATGCAAACTTTTAGACCATATTTAAAAGAAATTTGCATATGTGTTTTTTTTTTGTTGAGTATCAAATTTGATACATCATGCTTTTATTGCTCATGTAGTATGATATTTTGAGAATATGGAGGAAAAAACAGTGTTTGCAAAAATATGCAATATGGTGCAGATATTTTTCTTTATATAGACAAAAGTAAGCAATTCTGATTAAGGAGATATAATAGACTGTATACATAAAATGATAGAAATATCAGTCATCAATCTATCTCCAATAATAGGTCTTGAGATGATATTTAAATGCTTAGTTTGATGATCAAAACATATAATGCAATGCAATACAATGATAATTGAGAGATGAACAAATAAATGCTCCTCAAAAGCCTGATGATCATATTTTAGACTGACTTTTCTGGATAATCAAGTAGGTCGCTTCAGTCCATTAAAATATAAGTTATTCTCTCATTTACTTTATAAAAATCAGTAAAGATTTACAGCAAAAACACATGTGAACCACGAGCTGAAGGTTGACGCTTGTACAATTATACTAAAAGAAAAAAGTCTGAACTATCAATCAGACGACAGACATTGTGTGTACAGGTTTTAACAGCAAAGTTTTTATCATTTTGTTATTTAAATGCCTTCAAAAATAGGCTTTATAGGGTTAAATGTGTTGTTAAGGTTATCATGGATCATCAACCTGCCCCAGTATCCTACTAAACTCCCACTTAGCCATAATTTCCACCGGTTTAAAGGCCATAACGTGTGTTTCATAATGAATGTGTTTATTTCCTTCTACATACAGCAACGGCGCTCAAAGATCCGCTCATAAAACATTCACAGCTGGTTTTGTTTTTGTTTTTTTGTTTTTTTTTCTCGCAGACAAGTCGGCTGTTTCTGTCCATATTTTCTTTGGGAAAAGCGAGCGTCTGTCTGGGAGCGAGCGAGAACTCTACTATTAACTCCACGTTTCAATTTGTTAGCGGTAAACACACCTTTGAATGCACGACTCGACGGCTCCTAGATAAACTCATTTGCATGAATTTGCTTTTCCCAGGCGAAGCCGCTCCGCAGTACGTTGAGTCGCCGTCGGGCCTTTCAGATCGCCTGCGTGCAGCAAAAAAGCTATCATTTTCCACCCGAAGGCATCAGCGTGTGCATGCCGGCGAATTCTCTGCGCTTTGGAACAGAACGTTCCCTCAGTGTTATTCAGCCTGCGTTTCAAAGACGCGGCCAATATGCTATCTTTTAGCAGGGAAAAAAAAGGACAACGGATATTATGCGTGGAAATATACAATGCTAATGTTATCTGCTGTGTATTTTTATCACGCTTTTGATACAGGCTGCCACGCAAGAGGATAATGAGATGAGGATCCGTGCTAGTGAATTTCAAGACAATCCAGATTTCTCTCCTCAGATCTATTATCATAATCTTCAAAGATGCTTGTCTAGTTCATTTTGCGCGTGACCCCGGCAAGTAGGTCGTTGAATTTCCCGAAATGACTACAAATAGGAGACTCATCATTAGGAGGCAGACGGAGAGTGGACTGCAAATGACTTGCGAATGAAAGAGGAGTGATGGTCCTTCATAAAGCTTTGATCAAATTCATATGAGGAACCTGCTGAGGGACCCCCCGATGTTCCATAATGCCTCACAACCACACCATAGTCCTCACCGTCAGCGGTTTTGGTTCTAATTGCCATCAGTGATGTTTTTGTATTATTATATACTATTATAGGTTTTATTAATGTTTTGAATTAGCTCTTATTTTTAGTTTTCATTTTAGTTTTAATTAGATTTTTAGTCATTTAGCTTTGTTTTTATTTAATTTTGAGTTTTTGTAATGTTAATTTTAGTTTAACCTTTATATATTTTTCCATAATATTTTCCATAATATTGTATGTTTGAAATATTTAGATTTTATTGTATTTTACAGTTTTGAGTTCAGGTTAGACTTCATTAAAGGGTTAGTTCACACAAAAATGAAAATTCTGTCATTAATTACTCACCCTCATGTCGTTCCAAACCCATAAGACCTTCATTCATCTTTGGAACACAAATTAAGATATTTTTGATGCATTACATCAAATATGTGTGCCTGCCTGAACCACAGTTTATGTACAAATAACAACACTACTAATGAGATCACGTTGATCTGCCATAGCTGCGTCTGCAGGACTGACACACTGAGCTGGCGTTATGTGTTCAGTGTGATCCGGCTCATCTTTTCTGACAGCTCGACTTGCATGCTGCTCCTGGACTGAGCTGGAGTCCGGCCGAGCCGCGATGGCTCTTACGCCCTCCTTTAATCTTCACACGCTTCACAGCACTTGGGCACTTTACGCCCCCTCAGCAGTGAGCGACCCAGACTCCTGCTGGACCCACACTGGCTTCTGTCAACATCCTTATTCACCGGAGCCTCGTCTATAGTTCAATCCAGATGCTAAAAAGCCTAAATGAACATTGGGACTACATATGGAGTGTTTGACTTATGCTTCATAAAGTATTTCAGGCCGAACCGTGTTTGTTGCACTGCTATACAGTGGCTGTTTTCTTGGATGCATTAATGCACTATTTTGTACTAATAATATGTGAAAAGCACAATGCACATAAAATGGGCTTGATTGTTCAAGTCAATAATACTGATTTGAATAGTGACCAATAGTGATGATTGATCACACGCAAATGATTTTTTTGAGCCGGTTCTTTAAATGAATCAGTCAAAACGACTCCTAAACTCAAACAATAGGGTTTAAATCAAGCTAATTAATTTTTTGCTGGCTCTGTCATTGGCATTTAGTGGGTTCTAAATAAACAACTGACTCATATTTTGTATTAAATGGTCTTTTAAAATATTAAAATACACTATAAAAATTGCATTATGGTATTTTCTGGAAAGTAAGTCACACCAAAAACAAATCACATTGTTGAGAGGAAAATAAAGACACTGCCATTTAAAAGTTTAAAGTTAGTAAGATCTTTTAAGATTTTTTAAGAATCTTTGGAACACAAATTAAGATATTTTTGATGCATTACATCAAAGACCCTCCATAGACAGCAAGGATCCTTACACGATCAAGACTCAGAAACATAGCAAGGAGATCGGTAAAATAATCCATGTGACATCATAAATTGATCAAAAGTGACTGTAAAGCCATTTATAATAAATAAGATTTCTCTTTCAAATAAATGCTGTTCTTTTGAACTTTCTATTCATCAGAAAATCCTAAAACATAAAATGTATCATAGTTTCCTCATGAAGCAGCACAACTGTTTTCAACATTGATAATAATCAGAAATGTTTCTTGAGCAGCAAATCAGCATATTAGAATGATTTCTGAAGATCATGTGACACTGAAGACTGGAGTAATGATGCTGAAAATTCAGCTGCGCATCACAGGAATAAATTACAATTTACTATACAGGTGCATCTCAATAAATTAGAATGTCGTGGAAAAGTTAATTTATTTCAGTATTTCAACTCAAATTGTGAAACTCGTGTATTAAATAAATTCCCTGCACACAGACTGAAGTAGTTTAAGTCTTTGGTTCTTTTAATTGTGATGATTTTGGCTCACATTTAACAAAAACCCACCAATTCTCTATCTCAACAAATTAGAATACTTCATAAGACCAATAAAAAAAAATTTTTTTGTGAATTGTTGGCCTTCTGAAAAGTATGTTCATTTACTGTACATGTACTCAATACTTGGTAGGGGCTCCTTTTGCTTTAATTACTGCCTCAATTCGGCGTGGCATGGAGGTGATCAGTTTGTGGCACTGCTGAGGTGGTATGGAAGCCCAGGTTTCTTTGACAGTGGCCTTCAGCTCATCTGCATTTTTTGGTCTCTTGTTTCTCATTTTCCTCTTGACAATACCCCATAGATTCTCTATGGGGTTCAGGTCTGGTGAGTTTGCTGGCCAGTCAAGCACACCAACACCATGGTCATTTAACCAACTTCTGGTGCTTTTGGCAGTGTGGGCAGGTGCCAAATCCTGCTGGAAAATGAAATCAGCATATTCAAAAAGCTGGTCAGCAGAAGGAAGCATGAAGTGCTCCAAAATGTCTTGGTAAACAGGTGCAGTGACGTTGGTTTTCAAAAAACACAATAGACCAACACCAGCAGATGACATTGCACCCCAAATCATCACAGACTGTGGAAACTTAACACTGGACTTCAAGCAACTTGGGCTATGAGCTTCTCCACCCTTCCTCCAGACTCTAGGACCTTGGTTTCCAAATGAAATACAAAACTTGCTCTCATCTGAAAAGAGGACTTTGGACCACTGGGCAACAGTCCAGTTCTTCTTCTCCTTAGCCCAGGTAAGACGCCTCTGACGTTGTCTGTGGTTCAGGAGTGGCTTAACAAGAGGAATACGACAACTGTAGCCAAATTCCTTGACACGTCTGTGTGTGGTGGCTCTTGATGCCTTGACCCCAGCCTCAGTCCATTCCTTGTGAAGTTCACTCAAATTCTTGAATCGATTTTGCTTGACAATCCTCATAAGGCTGCGGTTCTCTCAGTTGGTTCTCTCAGTGTATCTTTTTCTTCCATACTTTTTCCTTCCACTCAACTTTCTGTTAACATGCTTGGATACAGCACTCTGTGAACAGCCAGCTTCTTTGGCAATGAATGTCTGTGGCTT